CCATCAATGTCACTTTCCCGACCTTTCACCGGCCACACAATAGCTCTCTCTTCCATGCAATCCTTCTAACATGTCCGAATTATGCTGAAATTGTCATCGTATCGAATCTAATTGTGTTGAACCATATGTTAATAATACCATTAATTTTTGGGAACTTTAACGAAAAGCTTCCGGTATTGTTCACTTTAACAAAAAATCACAGTTTTACATTAAAAAGTCAATCATAGTACTATTCACTTTACTATTTATTTTGTCCTTATCGTTAAAATTCAAAGTTTTCAAGCTTTTTTCATTAGTTTTCCTTTAATTTTTCCAAAAAATAAATAAAATATTGACATGTTTATTTTGGGTTTTTTAATTGTCGGGTGTTGGGAATAATGTTCTAATTTCCAAATTGTTGTAGGTGGTAAGGGAGGTGGCGGTGGGGAGTTGGGGAGGTTAGAAACTGAGTGGTTGAGGTTTGAAGAGATAGGATAGCTGGAGTTGCCTATTGCTAAATTATTATTATTTTCTTTTTGTTCTTGTTGGGTGTATAAAGAGATTATTGGGCACATTTAGAATTTCAAGATAAAATATAATAAGTTGGATGTAGAAAAAGGATAAACAGGTCTAAATAAAATTTCCCAAACCAAAAAGTAAAAAATTGTTTTCCGTGCTTTGCATTCAGAAAAATGATTTTCGCATATCATATTCCCTTTCTGCAAACTCTTGTGCAATTTTATGGCTTATTATATTAGCATCCCACAAATTGTTGAATAAACCCACATACTTAATACACCTCACATTTACTTTTTCAATTAAAAATTATCTTAATACACCCCACTTCCTTCCCCATAATACCCTCACACCCTACATTCTTAATACACACCTTACATTTTCTATGCACACCCCACATTTTTTATACACCCAGCATTTCTCAAATCTTATAACAGTCATTTTTAATTTTGCCGAATGATTTCAAACCATCTAAACTTTAGTTTGCCGAATGATTTCTAATTGAATGACTTGAAAAAATGTTTAGGTTCATTTGAATGTTTTTCAATAACAATAATAATGATTTCAAAGCTTTCGAAACACCAATTTCGTGTTCCATTCGTCAAAAATAATTTTTCTTAATCAACATGTTTGTAGTTTCATTGCTTAGAGTTTTATTCAACAATGGAGGATGTAAGGGGTTTTGATAGTTGAAGGAGATAAATATTACGTTAAAAATTATTTTTATTTTTATTTTTTAAACCTAATAATGTCAAAATTGTCATTGCATAGTAGAGTAAATAAGTCATTAATATTAAATTTTAATGTGAGGTGCATTCAACATTTTGTAGGATGCTAATATAAAAAGCCCTTTTAGATTAGAATAATACTAGAACGACTAAATTTGCAAACCAAATATGTCACTAATAAAAAATAAGCGCATTAATCAATAATCGAGTGATAATCCAATTGCTATAAATATCCATATAAGGAGAACTTGTAAATTAACTTCCTTATGCAACTTTCCCTTTTGGGTATAAACGTAACGTGCAAGCGATTAAGCAATGATCTCATAATCATCATTCATGTAAATTAATTTTATTCTCACTTTTTACTTGGAAGTAAGAGATTATAGGTTCGAATCTTGTGGATGATAAATTGATACCAAATTAGGTTGCCTATTGTGTGGCTTTACCGAACTTCCTCTCCACTCTGTGTAAAAATATCGATGTATCAAAAAAAAAAAATTCTATAATTTGATTATTTTTAATTTCAATTTTCCAATTGTATGGTTGCAGACTATAATATGTAGAAGATCGTTAATTTTTTTGTTTGGGTCAAACTAAATAAATTTCATTAATAAAAGGAAGTCTTAACAAAACAATTCTTGTATTATTCACTTTTAACGTTAAGGATATTTTTACTCTAAAAAGTCATTCCTAATATCATTCACTTACAACATCATTTTGTCCTTTTGGTAAAAACTCAAAGTTTTCAAATCATTTTCATTAATTTTCCTTTAATAAAAAGGTAATATAAGTTAGGGTAAAAGACTGTTTACTACCCTCATGTTTCGTGGTTTTCAACATTTAGTACATCAAGTTTTTTTCGTCTCAGAGTCATACCTAAAGTGTAAATTTTGGGACAGTCTCATACATCCGTTAGTCAAACTGTTAAGTTTTTCGTTAACTGTGACGTGGCGCACTGACTGGGCGCCACGTGTCATCTACGTTTTTTTTTTTTTTTTCTTCTTCTTCTTTTCTTTTCTTTTCTTTTCTTCTTCCTCCGACTGCAACTTTCTTTTTTTTTCTTTTTTCTTTTTTTTTTGCTTCTTCCTTCTCCTTCTTCCTTCCCCTTCTTCCTTCTTCTTCCTTCTCCTCCTTCTTCTTCTTCTTCTTCTTCCTCCGAAATCTGGGGAAGTTTGTTTTTTTTTTTTCTTTCTTTTTTCTTCTTCCTTCTTCTTCCTCCGACTGCAATTTTTTCTTCCTCCTTCTCCTTCTTCCTTCCCCTTCTTCCTCCTTCTTCTTCTTCTTCTTCCTCAAAAAAAAAAAAAAAAAAAAAAAAACTTTCATCTTCCCCCAAATTCGGAGGAAGAAGAAGAAGAAGGAAGAAGGGGAAGGAAGAAGGAGAAGAAGGGGAAGGAAGAAGGAGAAGAAGGAGGAAGAAAAAAAAAAAAACTGAATCTAGGCAAATTCGGAAGAAAACAAAAAAAAACAAAACAAAAAAAAAGCTTCCCCAGATTCAGGAAGAAAAAGGAGAATGAGAAGGAAGAAGAAGGAAGAGGAGGAAGAAAGGGAAGGAAGGAGGAAGGAGGAAGGAAGGAAGAAGGAGAAGGAGGAAGAAAAAAAAAACGTGGATGACACGTGGCGCCCAGTCAGTGCGCCACGTCACAGTTAACGAAAAACTTAACAGTTTGACTAACGGATCGCGTCCTTGATGTACTAAATGTTGAAAACCACGAAACATGAGGGTGGTAAACAGTCTTTTACCCTATAAGTTATATAAAACCCAAAAGGCATTCCACAACAACCAAGTACAAGCACAACGTTTTGCAGGTTCTTTTTCTTGATAGTGGTGGTTATTTTGCGATAGAGGAGAAATTTTTAGTTGTGATAGAAACACGAGTGGTACACCACATGTTTTAATAGGAACGGTGAGAAATTTTATTTTTTAAATTATTAACATTTTAGCACACATATCCAACTATTTGTATAATAATATATAATGTACATCCCGTGTACCGGAAAAATCTATCGTGACTTAGCTGTTTGATGGAGGCAAACGATACTCCAGATTTAGGTTTTCTAGCTGTGAGCCGGCTATTGTTGGGCCTTTTTGGAAAAGTACGAATGATGAAGTTTTGTTTTACGTTTCTTACGTATTCAAAGATGCTTAATTCTTGCATTATTTGACAAACCGTTGGCAAATTAACTGTAAACAAATGTTCAAAAAAGCAGATTAAAGGCAGAAAAAAATGAACCACTAATTTAACAGTTAAATAAGGGGAAACTTTATTTTCATTGCCTTCTAATTGGAAAGTTGTTCCTCCAGCCCATAGGTGGTACCAAATTAATCATGTTAAATAGCTTCTTGTTTTATTTATTTGTTTGTAAAAAAAATAGTACCCTTTTCAATAAGCTAACCAAAATCTGCTTCTTTAAACTCTTTTATAATTTTTGGCTTTTGGATTTAGGGTTAATGAACTATTAGTTTAACAGTGATTGCATTTCTGGGAAGTTTCTCTCTAAATTTGAGGGAGTTTGATGGGTGTAGTTGAGAGATAACTTCAATTATATTGTCTAAATCTCTTTTAAGGAAACATGATACTCAAGATAACTTTGTCTCAAACTTATCACGTGTCATGTACAAAAGTTACAGCATACGTCAACACGTAATAAATTTAGGGTAATGCTACATAGACAACCCCATTTACTATAAGCTACTATACTCTCGAAAACTAGATCAAGATTTATTTCATAACAAATTATACTAAACTATATTTCAATCTTATCACGTGTCGTTATATGTATTAATTAACATGAAATTCGAAATTTTGTAGGAAACTTTGCCAATGACCGAGGAGAATCAAGTTTCTACTCAGAAGAGTAAGGCATGCAATTGACCTCCATCATTAGCACATAAGTGTCACTTGGGTTTTGATGATTTTGATAGTTATCTCCATTCTCCAGTCCAGCATAATGATCACACAATTATTCCCAAAAAACCAAGACCCAAATGATAGAATCTTCACAACCGAGCCAAATCACTGCACTCTTAATCTCTTATTACAATTTTAATTGCAAATATAAGAAGAAAGATTTGGGAGGGAGAGATGTTTTAACGTGTTTGGAATACAAATGTTATTATACAAGTAAAAAAACATTTTTTAAAAAAAAAATATTTATTTACTTGTATAATGACATAAGATGTATGTGCCCGTATTTTGGGAATATTGAAAAAATCTCTCTTTGGGAAGAACAGTGAATGTGTTACGTTTGTTGAACTTGTTCGAAAAACAGGACGGAACACTACATGAAGAGTAGTAAACGTGTTACGTTTGCTGAACTTGCCTGAAATACAGGGTGAAACACCACTTGTCATTATACCATTGAATATATATTTTTTTTCTTCAAGAGCTTTCTAATTGTATAATAACATTTCATATTCAGTTATGTATTTCGAGTACAATGAAAAGTCTCTCCGATTTCAATAAGAAGTTACATGATTTGGTATTATAAAACTCAAAGTGCTAGTAATCTTAGCTAGCAGAGGCATCAAATCCTACGACATTTCATAGGTCTCCAAAGTTTCAAATATAAAATTAGGAATTTTATATAAAAAAAATTTATTTCACAATAATTCTCATTGTACTAAAATGAAATTTAAAAATATAGAATTCCCCCAAAACATTTATAAAAAAATATAAAGCCACCCCACCAAGCACCAACTTCAAGGGACCCCACTGTAATTTCCACTGTGCAACTCTGTTCCCCTTCAGTCACTAGATCTTTCCCCTCCATCATAAACCCCACTTCCTTCTGAAGCATTTCCCAGTTGCCTCACTCATTGCAAACCTCTCTTCCTCTCCTCTCTTCCTCTCTCTCTAAAAATCAAGAGTTGCTCACTCCCTCTGATTCTGTCTAATGGCAAAAGCTGAAGCTAAGTCTGAAGCCAAACCAGAAAAACCGAAAGAAATTGAAGAAGTTTCGGTACCCACTCTCAAATACAAAGTAATTTACTTTCGAAGAACACCAACTTGTTATTTTTTCAGAAAAAGGTTTCAACTTTCAGATTTTCTAACAACTTCTTCTCCGTTTTACAGATTTGGGTTTTGAAAGTCCCTATACACTGTGGGGGCTGCAAGAAAAAAGTCGCAAAAATCTTGAAAAAAATAGATGGTAACCTTGAAATCCCTCTGATAGGATTTTAATCTTTTTTTTTTGTAGTTTTTTTAATCGTACGGTCCTTCTTGATTTGATGGTTTCTGATTTGCATGTCTCCTGTTTCATCAACTTTTTCGGTTACAGACTTACAGTTCGGCTCAAGTTTTTTAATTTTTACAACTATGGGTTTTGTTTTTGATGAGTTTTTATTGTTTTAATTCAAAAAATTATGTGAATTTTACTGATTTTTTATGATTTCTTTGGTGGGTTTCCAGGGGTTTACAAAACAGAGTTCGATGGGAGCTTCGGGAAGGAAAACAAAGTGACAGTGACTGGGAACGTGGAGCCGGAGATTTTGATCAGGAAGCTGGCCAAGGGAGGGAAACATGCAGAGCTGTGGCTTGATCAGAAGGCTAACAACAGCAATAATTCAAACGACAAGAAGAAAAAAAAGGGGAAGAATAAGGAGAGACAGCAAGGGGAAAACGCCAAAGGGTCGCAGGACGGTAACCATGGCGGACCTGGCTGCGGCGGCAGTGGTGATAAAGAAAGGGAGGCGGTTAAGGCTGAAGTTGTTCAAGTCCAGGATAATGGTGGTAAGAAGAAAAATGAGGGTGCTGGTGGCGCGGGTGGGAGTAAGAGCGATGAGGGGGCGAATGCTGTGAAAGTGATTGAGGGCGGTGGTGCACCGGCAAAAAAGGGCGCGGGTGGCGGTGGAAAAGGCAAAGAGGTGAAGGTTGAAGTGGTGAGGCAGGGGAAGGCTGTGAACGTGTCAGGACAGCCGGATGCGGCGGAGAAGTGTTTTGGTGGGGACGACGATGACGATGACAGTGACTGTGCGGTTGAGAAAAGTGGAGGCAGCGGTGGAGGCCGCGACGGTGCTGGCGGCAGTGGAACCAAGAAGAAAAAGAAGGGGCAAAAGGGGAATGCAAATGCTGGGGATTCGGATGAGAATGAGCAATGTGGTGATGCTGCTCCAGCACGCACTGGATTACCGCCTAATCATGGCAATGTGCCACGTGGTCCTCCCGTGCCTTACATGTTTAATGGGTTCAATGCGCCTCGCATGCCTCCATATGGTACTCAATTCCCAAACTTTGCTCCGGCTCCGGCACCAGCTCCAGCCAATCACATGGCTCCACATCAGCTGCTGTATGAGTACCAGTACCCCAGGCATCCAATCCAAGCTATGAACTTCAATACGGCCTACCCCGCCAGTAGCTACGGTGCATCCCAGTATGCTGCACCACCACCTCACGCACATTCTTACTCTTATGTGTCTCAAAGTGTGGCAGCTGAGACCGAGCCCCGGTCCTATCATTCGGACTCATATCCGCAGTACCACCCGTCTCAGCCGGTATATAATCCGCCGCAGCAGTCCGATTCCTTCGTGCTGTTCAGCGACGAGAATCCGAACGGGTGCACCATTATGTGAAGCATCGTGGCCAGTGGCAGCATTGGAGAGTTCGGAGTTGGAAGGTGAAGGCCGCATAAGGGCTTATATTACTTGTATAAGTGCTTTCGGGGAACTTATACTACTTGTATAAGTGCTTTTGGGGAATGACTTGGAGCTTTGTTATTTGTTATGTCATCTGGCAATGTGAAGGCTAATTAATCCTAGCTTAGTGGGGAAGAATAAATGGGGTTTTATGGTGTTCTATGTTAATTTTCTATTAGGGTTTCCGTAGTAGTTGGTCGTTATGTCTAGCTCTAGGCTAATTATCTTTAAGTTTTTGCTCTTTTAATCAGTTTTAAAAGAGTAGTTAACTATGTAATGATCGGATTAATTAATTATTTAAGTAGGGTCTCTAATTATGTCTCAACTCTGCGTTCTGATGTGTAAAGTAGATTATGGCAATTTGGCTTCTTATTTCAGCTGTTTGTTTACTCGTAAAGAAAAAGAGGGAAAATACATTTCGACCATTCAAAATTGAACTATATCACTTTGATGATCTGTCTAGTTGCAAACAAGAACCCTTTCTAGGTTGTTGAAAGAAGGGTCTTTGGAGCGACCATTTGGAACTTATTTGTTCCGAATATGTCATTGTGGCAATATTTCAAGCTTGTAATGTCATCATGACGGTCTTTCAAGCTTATAATGTACTGACACATGTTTACATTTTTATTGTATTACTTTTTGCGTGTAATTTTGAGTAAGTTATAACAATGGTCTCTCAACTTTAATTAAATTGGAGCAATAATCCCTCAACTCATCAAAACATGTAGGTATAGTTATTTTCGTTAACTCCGTCAGAATTCTGTCAAAATGAATTATGTTGGAATGACCATTGCTACAATTGGATTAAAGTTGAGGGACTATTGCTCCAATTGGGCTAAAGTTCAGGAACCATTTCTTCAGTTGGATTAAAGTTGAGGGACCACTGATACAATTTTTCTTATTTGATTTTTCATATTTGCCCCTTGATTCAGCCTCACATGCATGACACATGACTCATTTTAACGGAAGTTCTAACGAAGTTGACGAAAAAGATCATAGTTACACATTTTAATAAGTTGAGGAACCAATAGTAATGGATTTTTAGTTGAATGACCATTGCTCCAATTGGGTTAAAGTTAATGAACTATTGCTACAATTTTTACTCTAATTTTAACATTTTCACATGGATGTTTATGGTTAGTTTTGAATATCACCATATGGAAGTTATTGTATCAAACTTTTGCAAGCAATGTCCATGGTGCTTTTTCTTGGTTAGCTTGTAGGGCCATTTCAATCGTTTGAAATACTCTCTTAATGATGCGTAAATGGGAAAATTAATAGAGAAAGTGGAAAGATTAGTCAAAACTATTTATTAGAGATGTGCTTAAAAGGATGCTAATCACATTGTTAACTGGAAATTAAGAAGCAAGTTAGTGTAATGTCTTAGATTAAATGAGATCAAATCTTTTGCATTCATTTTGTGTGTAACCTCTCTGTGGCATAGCCTTTATTATTTATTGACACGTGTTAATAAACTTAACTTACATTAGAGTTTATTATCATAAACTTAACACATGTCAATCAGACCACATACAAAATAGTTCAGAAGATTTGATCTCAAATGAATTTTGTCTTTTCTAAGATGTGGGAAACCCATTTCTAGATTCCAATAAAGTATATCCGAAATATTGAGATAGGATTTATATGTTTTCTATGCTGGTTTTGTGAAAGAAGAAAATGTTTACATTCACCAAATGGTAAAGTCCCTTGTTCTTTACTATAAACTTGAAATTTTAATATAATTGATCCTTTGAAAGTTTTTACCTTAAAGAGGTTGAGGATCCTTTCCGAATCTACTTTGTGGGGATCCTAGGATTCTCATATCATAGTCATTCATTGTACATCATGCAGTTAGTTTTTATCAGATACTATTTGTATTTAATTTTAAATAAAAAAAGTCAAATGATTTATAACCACACGATACACGATGAATAACTCATATATGGGAATCTTAAGGATTCCCACAAAGTGAATCCATATGGGATCCAATCCCTTTAAAGGGTGGTGTTATCTACACTCATGTTTACCTGTTACACACTCTTTAATTTTCAGTTGTCAAATCAAATGAATTAAAAAACATTAATATATAAAAATTAAAGTGTGTTATATCCACACATCCTTTTTACTTCTCACACCCCCTAGTTGATTTTTATCTTTTAATTTTCTTTAATTCATATAATCTCACGGTTGAAAATTAAAAAAATGTATAAGAAGTAAAAAAAAAAAAAAAAAAAAAGGGTTAATAGTACACCTCAAAAATTAATAAAGCCGTGTGCAAAATAAAAAATAATGTGTGAAAAAACAATGGTACACTTTAAAAAGCAATCTCTTACTTCCATTCCCTTTTGGAGTTTGTGATGGGCTGTCCTCTTTGCTTTAGTTTTCATTTTTTTTCTTTCCCTTCTTTAATCTGTAGGCTAGTGCTTTTGGATTTAAAAGCACTTTTTGGAGATGATTTTAAAAGCAGATTTGTACGGTAGTATGGAGGCCTTTTCTTTAATTATTGCTTTTGAGACCTGTCTCCTGGGGCAAGCAACCCCACAAGCAAGCAAATCATGTCCACGATAGAGTCAGAAGCAGAAGCACGATGCTTTTGCTTACAAGCTTCTGTTTGACTTTGGTTTAGACTGTTTTAGACTAGATTATGAATTATTATTAACAAAACTTGATCACAATTATCTGTTGTTAAGTAGTGACACTTGGCCAAACTCCACCCTAATTACTTTAGTCATGCCTAATTAAGGCTATTAGGTTTATTAGCCAAAATGGTTCATGAAATTTGTATAACTTCTCATTTTGGTCTCTGAGATTTGAAATCAATACAAATGGTCTATGAGATTGTTTACCATCAATCATTTTGGTTCTTCCATGAATAGTTATGTTAAATAAATATTAAAATGACAAAACTACCATCAATTTAATAAACAATAGGTAAAAATGATTTGAAAAAAAAATTAGTTATTTTTGTCATTTTATTCTTATTTAATGGAGATTTTTTACGGAATGATCAAAATAATTGATGGTGGACAAACTCATGCACCAATTCTATTAATTTCGAATCTTAGGGATCAAAATGAGGAGTTATGCAAATATCAGGAATCAGTTTGAATAAAAAGCCTTTAATTAATTATTTACCACTATTTTTCTATTTTTCCTACCACATGCGTTGGTTTATATTCTGGGGTTTTTTCTTGGGTCTTATCAGTTATAATATTTATGAGAGATTTTTCGTGTTCTTGAAGCACCGCACATATGTTATATGATATTATATAAGTAGATGAGATATTTGAAAACAATTTTTTTCTTTAATAGTATAGTAACATATAGTCTACCGTTCGTGTTCCGAACACGTTGAAAAAGCTCACAATATTTAGAGGAAGGCCAGCATCTGATGGGTCCTACATGTTATTCTCCATTGCCAAATATTGAATGGAAATTATGGACTTATAATTTTCTGCAACTTTAATCTAAATTTTGTTTTGGTCACAGTTGAACCCAAAAAAAAAAAAACCCTAATATCTTCTAATTTATTGATAAATGGCCACTTTTTAGGGTTTTATTCCCTTGTCCACTCGTGGTCAATTGACATTCCAAGCTTATAAGCAAGAGAACCTCTTTGTTTTATTCTTATTCTTGCATGAACAATATGGTTTCTCGAAGATAATTATACTTATCCTTTATTGACTAAAAAATAAGGTAAATTTCTAGACACACTGCTTCTTATTTTGGCTTTGGTTTTCCTTTGATTCGTTTAATCAAATAACAACAACAACAACAAAACATTATCTCATTAAGTGGTTTGCTGTATAACTGCTAGAACGTCACTGTACTCAGTTTTACGCCAAGTATTCTTTTAAGTCTTTCTAGGTCTTCCTCTACATTTTTTGCCTTGAGGTTCTGTCTCATAGTTGCATCTTCTAAGCAAAGTTTATATAGGTCATCGGTTCACATGTTTAAACCACCTTAACCGATCTTATCTCATTTAATCAAATAACTAGAAAAAAAGTTGTGCAGAAAGTAAAATAAAGGGTACAAAAATTGGCACTTTCCTAAAAATAAAACAAAAACTGTGCTGCTATGCAGCTGTTGTATTACTCTATGCAAAATTTTACCCACCTACAAAAACAGTAAACTCCACTTCCTTTCAGATAAATGAATTCTGAAGCTTCCGACCAAAAAAATGAATTCTGAAGCAGCTCAAAAGGGTGTGGTACAAGGTTTTGCCATATATATGCAGGAAGACAGGAAGAAGATATAATGAATTATTGAAATGGACGATGCGTCCATTCTAATAATTCATTAGAGAATCTTAATCCAAAAAGAAATCCATCGATTCATTAGAGAATCTTAATATATAAACAAACACTTTATATTTATATATTCAATCACTTGAGCCTAAATACTGTCCCCATTTGCATATTCTTCCTGACGAGTTTCTGGGAAATTTCCATCTAACAATCTGGAACCTGGTTCCCTTTAATCCAATCAACAAGCTCCCATCACAAATACCCTGTTATTTTGCCTTTAGGCCGTTCACACTGCAACAGAGGTTTTGTGACGTTTGATATCAAACGTAGTTGTAAACACTTTTAGTTGTCAAAAAAACACTTTTAATCATTTTAAAAATAATATCAAACAAGCTTTGAGCGTTATTCACTACGGAAGACCTCAATTAGCCTTCATTTACGTTAGTTGTCTGAAATTTAGGTGGCAAACGTATACATACATACATACATATATATATATATATATATATATATATATATATATATATATATATATCCATGAAAAAAAAATGATAAAAACTAAATCTGCACGACATTTACAGCATCCGTTGGGAGTCATGAACATAATTGCTGCTGATTCCTTTTATCCTAGGCTGTAAACAAAGCTATATATCTGATAAAAAGGGGAACGCCTCTGGAGTCTGGGGCCATGTTGCCCCCCTTCATCGACGGCTCTGGTTAGCTGTTTAACCCTTTAACCACCGTAGATCACATGCACAGCTAACAAGGAATATTATATATATATGTATGTATGTATGTATATATATATATGTATGTATGTATATACATGTATATACACTTTTTCTTGGGTGAACAGTGTCCTTCTTTGCACAATAGCAATGACAAGGCCCTAATTTTGCAAGCACAACTCTAAGTTAACCAGAAAGCCATGCCTACAGGTTGTAATTTGGCCTGCACTTGCACTCGCAAGTACACAATGTTCTCTGTCCCTTTTCTCAAACTGTTCGACTTCTTTGCTTCTTTTGGTTGAGTTGATCAGCCTCACTTCACGAGAATCAAGAGGCGTGGCAGGTTGAGCATTGCACTCCATACTCCTTTGGATAATGAACAGTACACATTTCTGGAGGATCAAATGGGAGAGGGGATTTTTAGTGCACATGAGGAAAGTTCGATTCAATTATTTAAAGGGAACTTTATCGAAAAACTCCCGATACTGTTTATTTTAACGAAAATCATATTTTTACACTAAAAAGTCAATCTTGGTACTATTCACTTTACCCTTTATTTTGTTATTTTCGTTAAAACTCAAAGTTTTCAAACTCTTTTCATTAGTTTTCTTTTATTTAAAAGGTAGGGTTGGAATTGGATATGTTTGTTTGTTTTCATTTGGGAGGGAACTGGAATAGGGGGGTCAATCATTACAACCTTAAGTGTGGGTGATTAGTTGGGATGATGTTAATTAGGTTGGTAATGACCCCAATCATGACACATTAATACAATGATGCAAGCACCTCAAGCTACGCTATATGATATGGTTTTTACCTAATCCAGATCCTCTTCGGATCTTTGTGTCAGGAGCCAACAGACTAAGAAATCCAGATTACTCAATTTAAATTATGCGGTCCTCATTAGCACATCTCATTAACCCATCTCACATAAAATCTAGCCTTTAACGGTCTGAATCTCTTTCTTTCTCTTCAACAACTTGGATTCTTTGGTCCGTCAGCTCCGGATATAGAGTTTCTATAAAGAATTTGAATTCATTTTTACCATTGCATAACCAAAGCTACTTAAAACTTTTTGTGCCTAAGATGCTATTTAAACACATAAAACTAATCACATTGTTGATACCGTCTCCAATACAAGTGAGGTTCAAATACAATGACAAAAGTCACCTGTAATATTTGAGAGTGCCTCAGGCCCTTAATACAATGCGATCAATTTCAGTAATGTTATTTGAACACTTAAATTTGAGACTAACATCATTGCTGACACACCCTTTAATACATAAGGGTTTCACAAACAATAATACGAGTCGTATACATGTATTAGAGGAGCATCAAAAATGTAATTAGTTTTGTGTTTAAATAATATTATCGAGGATAAAGTACTAATTAAATAGAGATTAAAATTAGGGAGATGTCTCCTTAAAATGAAACCATGTCCCATAAATATTGCATAATATGGGATTTGAGCCCCATGCTATAAGTTGGTGTAAAAGTGAAAGTGTAGTTAGTTATGACCATCAAAAAATATGTGCTGGGTAGCACTTTGGCTTTATTTCCTTTTTCTTAAACTCAAATCTTCTCAACTTAAACAAAATCCAAAACATCATGAAAACAGTATATAAAAAGACAAAAAAACATAATGAAAAGTTGAAACTATCACAATAAAGCGTGAAGCTAATACAATCACACAAATTTATAATTGTGATAGTTTCAAACGCAGGAACGGCTGATGCTAACATATCTCTCGTATAATTAAATAACATGATCAAACCTACCCAACAAAGTGTTTGATAATATTCATATGTTTGTGTAGCTTTATAACTTGTTTGGAAATAATTTTAAAATGTCTAAAAACATTTTTAGTGAGAATGTTTTTGAGTTTCAACAACACTTGAAGTACTTCAAGTTTTTTTTTCTTCAAAATTTACTTGTATTTTTTACTAAGAATTAATTCCAAAAGTATTTTTATCAAAATTTTTTACAATCATTTGAAAAACATTGACAAACACTCTAAACATGCAAAAGCAAATTTGTCCAATAAAACGCAACATTTGAGCCGTATTGTTGCCGTAAAAAAGTTGAAAACGACAGGCCGTAGCACACAAGTAGTTGGAGGCTTGCGTTTGGTTGGTGGGTTTGAGAAGTGTAGCGTGTTTGTATAGACCAAGGCAAAGGACCAATGAAGAGTTGACACAACAGCCTCCTCACATTTAATAATGTATTGACATGTAAACAAAAATTATACACAAGCATAAAATATATATGTTCACCGGTACGTCATATGACGGTAAACCATACACTACATAAATAATTTTGAATATAAACGATTCATTATTAGGTTAATTAGTTTCGTATCGCTCTTCCTTTTGGTTTCATGATTTAGGATAGGGGTGCGATATCCACACACCCCATTTTACTTCTCACACACCTTTTTAATTTTCGGCCGTCGGATCGGATGAATTGAAGAAGATCAACGGACATAAATTATCAAGGGGTGTGTGAGAAGTAAAATGGGGTGTGTGGATAGCACACCCCTTTAGGATACTCTCATTTTACTAGCCAATTCTAACCACTAAGATATTTCAATTGTATCAATTAACAACCATTAATGGAGAGTTTACTCTACGGAGAACTACTCAAGTTAGTCAATATCAACTTATGCGGTTAAAATTTAAAGATATGCTACGATGAGTCGCTCACGCGTGTATGCATGACTTTCAACGGTTAAACTCTAACTGTTGATATATGCGGAACCCTTGATACATCAATGGTTAGATTGAAGGTGGAAAATGCTAGCAAACTTGTAAAATTACTCCACATGTTTGTGAGAACTATTCTCCTTCTAAGAATTGTAAGGATTTTGATTAAATCTAAGCTTGTTCAAGCTTGTAAAGTTTTTCTTTTAAAAAAAAAATTAAATGCAAGCTTTATATATATACAGTGAGAGGGGCCTATAACCCAACAAACCCAACTAAGTAAATACCCACCTGACCTAGCAACTCCAGCCGAATCCTCTTAATCAGGGTCAACATCTCCTTTAAGGTACCCAAGCGTTGCAAAACTACAACCCAAATAAGGGCTTGTTTAGAAAGTGCTTTTAAATTACCATAAAGGCTTTTAGAGAAAATAATTTGGATTCATAAGCATTTGAAGTGCTTCTTGTAAGAAACATGGTTATGTGCGTCTCCTAAAGCTTTAGCAAAATTCACTTGTATTTTTACCAAGAATTGGATTAAAAAATATTTTCACTTAAATTGCTTTCAGCCATTTAAAAGCACTTCTTAAATGAGCCCTAGGTCCATGTGTGGGACTCAGGGACTGTTTATGCAAAAACTAAAAGCGCTTTTTTTTTTTAAATAAAAAAACATTTTTGGCTAGTTTGACATCAAATTTTTCTATATCACAGGAGCGGGTTACGAAAAATAACTTATGAAGTGTTTTTTTAGAGAACACTTCAAGTGATTTGAGTTGCTTCTTACTTAAAGCTCTTATAATGGGAGTGATTTTGTTGTAAACAAGTTTAATGTTTTATTAAAAACCCAAGTTTGAACATTTCATGCTTCTCTAAAAAGCATTTGACTTGTTTAGAAATATTTTTAAAATGACTAAAAATAATTTCGAACTCACTAAAAACACTTATGTTAATATTTAGCTGTTAATATTTAGCAAAAGAAGCTAAAACTTTCCTTGTACTACAGGAAGCAGGCATTTCAAGTGCTTTTTAAGAAAGCACTTAAATTTTTTTATATTAAAAATATCAATGTTCTTCTAATAATCGCTACTGAAAAAAGTGCTTTGTAGAAAAGCATTTATAAGTTTAGCCTTGAAAATGTGTTTTAAGTTCTTCTAATAAAAAAGCCCGCAAGTAAAACGGGCCTTGAAAAAGCTCGAGAGTAGTTCCATTCCATTGATACTTTGTTCCAAAACCGAGTAAATCCTTCCCGCCAACGCCAAGTTACAGAGCGCGGCCCTCTTCGTCTGCGACCGATAGAGATGGAGTTCAGTGTGAGCGGCAACGCCCTGAAGACCTTCGCCCGCTCCATCACGTGCCTCGCACGCATCGGCAACGAGCTCGCCGTCCAAGCTTCTCCTACTCAGGTTCTCTCAGAAACTTCCCTTTTTCCACTTTCCCTCGCATTTTCCCTCCCTCCAAACACTCCACACAGTCTTTACTTATCAGTAATTAATTAACACCGCACGCCTCAAATTCGTGCGTGTTTCTTGTTAATTCGGTTTTAATGCAACAAAATTGATGAATTAACTAGTTAATTAATTTCAATTTTATGCAGAATCGGGCCGTTAATTTCAGCAGTTGTTTGCATTTTATTGTTGTAATTGTGATGAAGCTTGATGGTAGAATCAATTTTAGTGCCGTTAACTACAAATCTGTGGCGCGATTCGATCGAGTTCTCATATCATTTAGTACTACTGGCAATTTGTATTTTGAAGCAATTATCTGTTGGTAGATGGTGATGAGTATTTAAGGTTTTGCTTGTGCATTTTAGGGTTTTGGAAAAGATCTGTATGCTAAGTTATTAAATTTATCCGGGGTTTAGATGAATCGTTTGTGAGTAGTTAAAGAGATTAGTAAACGGATGCTAGGTTTATGTTTGGTATTCAGTGAAAAGAGCTCTTGAGGTTCTCGGTATTTATTCAACCGTCTACTTCATAGTTTGTTTTGTTAACCTGCGTACTGATTTTTGTGAAATATAATGGGTGGACATAATTGGAGACCAAAATCGAGAAAATGAGTTACTAATGATTTTGATACCACCACAGCTTTACTAAAGATTTTATTCTATTGTATCCAGCTTGCTTTGCACTCCCTCAATACGTCACGTTCTGCCTATCAATCGAGCACATTTAAGCCTGATTTCTTTGACGTCTATACTGTAACTGGTAATCAGGTGCAATGTAGTGTGCTTTTAAAGGTCAGACATCATCTTTCTGTGGAATTGCGTTGTTTAACAGGTTTGAATAACGTGGTAATCTTACTGACATAGTTTGTTCAGGCTGTTTGCTCTGTGCTTAGGACACCTTTAGCAAGTATAGATAATTTGAGCGTGAAATTGCCTGATCCCGATGCATCAAAACTGCAATGGACTTTACAGTGCTTCAGTGGTAAATTATCCTTTTTCATGTTATGTGCTGTTGATTTTTTATACAAAATTTGGTATGACAGAATTCAATCAACTTTTTGTAGCTGATTTAACTTCTATTCACAATCAAAACGAGGGGGCTTCTGGAATTGTAATTTGAGCACACCAATAAAATTTAGAATGCGTTGAGTTTTGTTGTGTAGAGGGGTCATGATGTCGTACTAGACAATTTCATTTTGCAGCTTTCCTTATCACATAATTTTCCTTTTATATATGTCGTTCACTTTCCATCATTTTAAACTTCATACCTACATTTTGCAGGTATGAAAAAAACCTATTGGATTAGTTGCAATGTTGAACCCGATATACAACATTTGTCTCTTGATAGGAGAAAATTCCCAAGCGGCTTAGTGGTGAGACCCCGAGATCTGAACAGATTGCTGGCTAATTTTCAGTCATCGCTTCAGGAGATTACAGTCATAGCAACAGAACCCACTTCCTTGCCTTCTGATGCAGCAAGTGAAATTGGAGGAAAAGCTGTTGAACTTAGAAGTTATATTGACCCAACCAAAGGTAATAAGGATTTTGCATCTCAGTTTCTTAAAATTGAAATTACCACAAAAAGGATGTTTATGCTTCAATTTTTGACCAGCAGACAGTGATTCATCACTGCATACTCAACTATGGATAGATCCTACTGAAGAGTTTGTGCAGTATACCCACACTGGAGACCCCATAGATGTGACATTCGGTGTGAAGGAGTTGAAGGTTAGTAAATTTGTTGTCTGGGATCTAATTGTATTTGAATTTGTTTACACTGTGAACAGCATTGTCCAATTTGATAAGCCTTGTCTTTTAGATAGAGATAACATCCAGCTAATTACTGTTGTTATCATCCCAATTAACTTCATTGGTTGAGGCTTTCTAGTAAGGTGTATAGACTTCCTAGGCTATTTTTTTCTAGGGTGCTTCACATTCTTTTTAGCTGAATCCTAGGTCCTCCAATTTGTCATTTCATTTTTTTTCTCGAATTATTTCAGGCGTTCCTTTCTTTCTGCGAGGGCTGTGAAATTGACATCCACTTATATTTTGAGAAAGCTGGACAGTAAGATATACCTAGTTTCTTTATCTTTCGCTTGCATTCTTTTTCCTGTATCCCATGACGAGTTTGAGCTAAGAGCTTAAAGCTCATATGCAAGTATTATATTTAGCAAACTGTGACTTAAAGATTGGTTAATTATATGTTGGGATTGCAGGCCTATTCTAATGGCACCAAAGTTTGGTCTAGATGATGGGTCCACTTCAAATTTTGATGCTACGCTTGTACTTGCAACCATGCTAGTGTCACAACTGCATGAAACCAATCCCGCAGAACCTCCACAAGCAGCTACCGAAATGCACATTCGGGATGAGCATGGGACAGGGTCAGAAGCACGACGAGAAAGGTGTAGGCCAAGTGGCTCTGAGCATCCATCTGACCACACCAGAATTTGGTCTGATCTTTCAGGTAACAGTTTCTTCAATGTTTTAATAGTGACAAGATGTTGTACTCTTATTTGTTAACTGTTTTACCATTTTCAGGAAGTGGTGCAAGAAGTGGCAACGGCACCGAAGGAGGACAGGTTCAAGGGGAAAGAAATTTGAATGCTAATGGACAGAGAGAAGTCCAAAGGATGAGTAAACTGCATATTTCGAATCCTGCATCTGCTGGGGGAAATGAGCCTGTGGATCCCAATGCGTATCCTAAACCTCTCTATTTGCTTCAGTTTTTGCTTATATGATAATTCTGAAAGTTTTCTTGTTCCATTACGACTTCTGTCCCAGTCCGTATTTGTTTCTCTCGTGTGGGTCGGACCAAAGTCATTGCATGATGAAATATATTCTTCATCTATTACAAAATCGTTCTCTTGACTTGTCATTCTAGCTGCCACCCTGAGGAAAATGATCATATGGAAGAACCTAGAGGTTTGTAAGAAAATAGTTAGGTTAATCTTGCTTGTTTTATACAACTGTAGTAACTAAAGCTTGTGCATTCTGTTTCTTCCAGATAGATCACAAATTAACGGCGGTGGGTTTTCACAACACCATCCTAGTAACTGGGTAGACGCAGATGAAGACGACAGTGATGAGGATGAAGAGAATGACCTTTGTATTCAGGCAACACCACCATACTATGAAGAACAGTAGGTTCGTGGCTGGAGTGATGGTTGGCCAAATTTCTTCTTGCTCTCATGTTGTAAGTCTTATCTTTCTTCTCAAATGACATGCTTTAGTTCTAATTTCCTTCTTGTCAAGTACTTAGCTTTACATATTGAGCACGACTGCTTCGTGTTTTAGTTTGAGGGATTAATGGATTATGCAATTATTTAAATAGAATTAAGTACCGGAAATGGATCAGAAACTGTGAAATATATCATTAAATTCAAATGGTTGTTGATATAGTTTGTTTGCACAAAACTGTGAAACGATTCGTGGTGTCAATGTTACCAAAATTGGTGGGTTTGGATCAAGAATTCACACACGGACGTTGATCCGTCACCATCACACGGCAGCTTATAGGACCCCTACTGTTTTCATGGCCTTAAATGTGAATCAGATTTTAGTGTTGATTTAACATTACCTCTCTAGTCTCTATTGCAATGAAATTCTGTCTGTCTTGAGATGGTTTTCCCGTACAACTGGTAACGAAAACAGTCGGAAAAATTCAGTTGCAGTGAATTCCTGCCTCTCCATTGCAGTGATTTCCTGCCTTTTTCTCACTTCAACGTTCAGCCATAGAGGACACACGATGCTTGGTGTAGAAACACGGTGTTTAGGGAGTTTGTTATTAGTTTGGAATGCTGTCATCGTAGCATCTGGGCTTTCGTCTCCAACTTAGGACCGTTCTTTGGATTGCTTATTCAATTTAGGACCTTTCAAGTCGTTGATTGTGAAATCTTAAAAACCTGCAGTTGGGACCCACTCACACCTAGTCGGCTAGTTATCTCAAGAATTTTGGGGCGGTATGTGTTTTTCTAGTTAATGTCAGCATGAACCCTGAACATAGCTACGTGCCACGATGTATTATTTGCTCGTTCTTTTTTAATCTTTTGGCACGCATGGACTGCAGGTTGAGTTTTGGCACCTGGATATATATATATATATATTTTAACAAACGATATTATTTACATTAAAGAGAGAAAGGGATGTGTTTAGCCTCATAACAGATTAGCAATAATGTGATTCAAATTCGCCTTTAGCGATAATCAAATTTTAAGACCTTTCACTTACCAGTGAAGAGAAATACATTAGATTATAGTACTAAGTGGCAGCACCTAGAGCTATTTTAGATACATTAATTAAATAATAATTTGGGGTGAGGGCACTTCTGTCCATCTGTGAGAATGTCTCTTCATCCGTTTCAACCTTTGAATTTTTTTTACCAAAAAACGTTCACTTCCAAAAAATAAAATTTTAAAAATGATGAGGCAAGATTCACGAGGAAACAGGAATTTAATTAAAAAATTGCACATATTATTTCTTTTAAAAAAGTATAATATAATAGTTTACTTTGTGAAAAATAAAGGAAGCGAAATTAAAAATATTTGTAGGGGGAAGAGTTTGGTAAGGAACCAGCTGGCTTGAGGGGGACTGAGGATTTGGTGTTGGGACGCGCAAACACCGTCCTAGCGATCTGCGGCGGGCCCGCGACCTATCTAACGGCTACGGCACGTAGCCGCCTAATCTAACGCCGCTTATTTAAACAAGGTAACCGTTGTTCCTTTTCAGAATGGTCAGACTCATAGCCATATGATAAAAAAGCGCGGGTATTTAGTTGAAAACAATAGCAACTATAGACTCGTGCTATATGCAAATGTCAATGGCATACACATGAAGAAGAATTATTCCAACATTTCTACGTGGATCCAACTCAACTTTTCAATTTTTTGTTTTTTCCTTTTTGATGGAATGATTCAAACCATATATTTGATTTGACTTGATTGGATAAATGATCTCCGTGGTAATAAGGTATTTGGAAAATAGCTGTAGTAGTAAGGAAAATATTATTTAAACACTTGTGATGTAATTCGTTAACAAATTCAGTTTAAAAGTGATTTTCTGTTAAATGCAGGAGTACAAAACGTATTTCTATCTCACTCTTTCTTTCGTTTCACCTCCTCTTTCCCTCTCTCTTCTTCTTTTTGTAATTTGTATCTTCACCTTATTCACGTCTTTCTCTCTATGTGCAATCATTTTAACGAAAATATCATTTTTGGACTAAATTTGCTAATGGACTATACCACAAATGTTCCTAATTTTTTTTTAGTATGAGAATTATCTTTCAAATGTCATATCACCACGAAGACCAGTTATCCTATTACGTTTGGTAAATTAGTGCAGTCGTAATGGATGAAAAACGAAGAGTAAAATGGGGGACGGTTAACAACTACAAGTGAGGTAATACAAAACCTACAAGGGGCACAATAATGACTAGCTATTACTCACTGATAAAATATTAAATAAATTATCAAATAAATAATAAATAATCAAATAAATAAATAAAAGAGAGAAACAGGTAGGAATAGGATTAGGAAGGGGAAAACGTGTATCGGTTAAGATTCTTTGGATGGACGTGCCCACTTGGGATAGGCGTAATGTAAAACCCTAGATGCCGTCTTCCATCTTCTCTCTCTGATCTCCATTTTTTTAAAAGAGACAACCAGTCAACCATTTGTGTTTCTTAATAGTAGGTTGGGTTATGAATGTGCAAATGATTTTGCTTCTAATTACTAGGTTTGCCATTTGATTTATGTAATTTGGTGTGAGTTTGAATCTTACAATTAGCAATTTAACTCACTCACGTTATCATTGTAAAAAGAAAAGTAATCAATCCTAAAAAAGAAAAAAAAAGGGATTCAGATAAAAAAAAAAAAAAAAAACGTACATGAACATAACCATATTGAATAACGAATAAGCTCTCTTTGTACTCTTGGGGGGCGTTTGTTTCACCTCCTTAGGAGGGACTGGACTGGACTGGACTACAGTCCCATGTTTGATAGGTGTTGGGACTAAGTTAAGTGGGACTAAAGGGGACTCGTGTGGACTACGGGGCTCGCTAGGTAGTCTTAGCGAGACCCCCCAAATACCACCGGATTGCTAAGATCGTTGCTCTGCTCGACTCCTCAGCGCTTTGCTCGACTGCTCACCCTGCTCGACAACCTCACCGGACCATCCCAGGACAACCGCCGTGTCCTCGTAAATCGTCGCTCTCATTTCCTTCTTCCTCACTGCCTCGCACATTAAAAAATCCAAAACATCCAACCCCAGATTCAGAGTCCACAACCTTCGACAGCCCACAAACAGAGACAAATTTAACAAAGAAGACAGAATCCAAACAAAAAAACAGCAGCAGAGAAGACAGAATCCAACCCCAGATTCGGAGTCCACAACCTCCGAATTCTGCAAAATGAAGAATCGAGCTTCGTTTTTCTCGTTTTGTCCACCGGGTCTTTCCTCTTCGATTTGTCCCGGTCTTCCTCTTCGATTTGTCCTCCACCGGGTCTTCCTCTTCTTTTTTCTCCTCCTCTGGTGGACAAGCCCGACGATCCCATGAACAAAAACCAGAAAAACGAAGCTCGATTCTTCATTTTGCAGAATTTTTTTGGCAATTAATCAGTTTTGGCAATTAATCAGAAAAAAAAGGAAAGGGACGGAGAGTGTGGGACGGAGAGAACGAGGAAGAAAATGATGGAGGCTTCCAGAGAGAGGGAGAGTATTATTAGAAGAAAAAAAGATAGAATTAATTAATATAATATTATTAGATATGAATTAAAAAATATAAAATATTGTAGTTTGTTATTATCCTTCTTTTTAGTCCGACACTGCACCAAACGCTTCACTAAATCAGTCCAGCTTAGTCTAGTCTAAGCCAGTCCAGCTTAGTCCCTAAAGCTAATCCAGTCCGAGATAGTCCGGTGCAACAAACGCACCCTTGAAGTTCTAATTCCATCTCGTAGTTAGATAAAATTATAGCAATAGTTCCTCAATTTTAATCTAATTGGAGTAATGGTCATTCAACTAAAAATGCGTGACTAGTGGTCCCTTAACTCATCAAAGCATGCAACTATAGTCATTTTCGTCAACTTCATTAGAACTTCCAACAAAATGAGTGACACTGAATCAAGGAGTAAATATGAAAAACCAAATGAAAAAAATTGTAACAATGGTCCCTTAACTTTAACACAATTGAAGAAATGGTCTATCAACTTTAACTAATTGGAGTTATGGTCCCTCAATTTTAATCCAATTGGAGCATAGTCCATCTAATAAGACCTTTTTTGACGAAAATTCTAACAAAGTTGGCGAAAATGACTATAACTGCACGTTTTGGTGAGTTAAATGACCAATAATCACATATTTTTTTAGTTAAAAGATTATCACTTCAATTAGATTAAAGTTAACAAACCATTTCTATAATTTTCTCAGTATTTTAAGCAAGTTTAAAATAAAATATCGCTAGCTTCAGTTTGAAAGAAAGAAATAAACCCTCAGAGGGGCACCATTGTAAATAATGCCCAATTCCAATGTCATTTGTTGACAACGGGCCTCTTATAAGTCCTTAACCGAGATTTAGCTCTTGTCTAATTTCCCTTGTCCTCGCTCTCCCTCCCTCTCTCCCTCTCTCTCTCTCTCTCTCTCTCTCTCTCCTCCCTCTCTCCCTACTGGTGGAGATAATCAACAAACAAAAGGAAACAAAGGGCAAGAAATTAAATTAAAGAAGAGACCAAGAGAAAACAACAACTAAAGCAGCTCAAGCAAAAATCAAAGAAAGCATTCAGCTTTGAAGAAAATCAACAAACGAAGAAGAAAAAGCGAGTGGAAAAGCTTCTTACTTTGGCAGAAATGGCTAGTCTGCACAGCTTCTCACTCCTCCTCCTGATCTGCGCCTCAATCTTGGTGGTGGGTTCGTCAAATGGGGACCAGCACCACCTCTCCTGGATGCCCACCGCCGACGCCAAGTCAGCCTCCTGCAAGGGCTCCATAGCCGAGTGCGCCTTGGCTGCCGGGGATGATGAGGAGTTTGACATGGACTCGGAGATCAGCCGTCGCATCTTAGCCACCACCAAGTACATCAGCTACGGTGCGCTGCAGAGGAACACCGTGCCTTGCTCCAGGCGCGGCGCCTCCTACTACAATTGCAAGCCCGGGGCCCAGGCCAACCCCTACAACCGCGGCTGCAGCGCCATCACAAGGTGCAGGAGTTAAATTGCTTTTCTTTTTTCGTTTTTTGTTTGTTTTTGTTTTTGTTTTTGTTTTTGTCCATTTGGAAATGGGGTTTGATTGTTATACATGAACAAAGGGAGAGAAAGTTGGGGTTTGGATTTGGAGGTGATGTGTCATTGTTTTTGTTGTTAATTAATGGAAATATTGAAGTTATCAAATCATATTTTGCAATGACTGTTGTAAAAATTAATAATTTGCTAGTCTTTTTTCTTCGAATTTTGTAGTTTTTGCCTCTCTTTTGAATGAACCCTTTTTGATATATTAGTCATTCTTAGAGGGAGAGGGCGAGTTTTGAATGTTGCTTCTTTGTGACCAAAATCACGATTCGAGTTGTGAAAACAATTTTTCTGCAGAACAAGAGTAAAGTTGCGTACGATACACGTCTTCCTCCCGACTCTTTGGCTTGGGATCACTCTTTAGTAGTTCTTTTTGGGAACGTAGATAGTGTAGCTATAGAAAATTATTCCCCCTCTCATTTTTTCATGACCAACATATCCTTGTCTCTATAGAAAATTACATGTGATAAATTATGTATTTTGTTCATGAAAGTTAGCATCTTTTGGGGACTTGTGTTTGATGGGATGTAGTGTTGGAGTGTGCTAGTTGTGGAAAATCCTCTTCCCAATCCTGGTGCTTGGCTTCTTCTCATTTTCTTCTCAAACAAGAAAAAGGAAAACCAAAAATTAGGAAGTTAGATTGAGACATAAACAAAGCAAATGACAAAGTATCAAGAGAAGAAAGAGAAATTGGTGACCTGTGATGACAAGAAAGATGTAAATTTGCAAAAAGGGGAAGAGGGACAATTCAAAGATTGGATCTCTTTTTATTCAAATTTTTTTCTATGAAATATGAATCATATTTCATATTGTTTTTTTTTCCTTTTTCTTTCAAGTTCTTTGCTTGAATGGTATTCATGCAAGAGGGACAAATAAGTTGATGGTTTCATTTGATATAAGCTCAAATTTGGATGGAGTAGATGGATATTTTCAGGGTAGAGCTAACCAAACACCAATTTTACTTCTCACCACATCTCTTTTAATTTTCGGTTGGATCCAATGAATCGAAAATAATCAATGGCCAAAAAGTAACAAGGATACGTGGAAGGTAAAAATAAGTGTGTGAATATCAGTTTCCTTATTTCTACTTGCAGTTGGCTTTCCTTATTTCTACTTGCAGTTGGCAAATGTCAAAATAGAAATTTACCTACTCCATGGATGTCACTATTGTGGGCTTTTACTGTTTCAAATGTCAATGTGTAATAGGCTTGGAATACTTCTACAGTGATTTCCCATTGGTGGAAGTTCTCAAATTTTAGACATGACGATAGACGTATTTCAAACCAATCGCTCGCTGACATGTTATGATTTTATTTCATGATAATGTGTCATTGACTTGAGATATCAGGATTGTAAGGTTATACTTTAATTGCATGGACAAAGTGAATTTGTACTTAGAGTAGAAGATCCACAAACTAGTCCTGCCAACATAGCTCCATTGAAATTGTCCTCCCCCATGTCCCCATGATCATAATGGTCTCATAACTCATAAGCCAGAAGGTCTCGATTGCACCCATCTCTTTCAAATATAATTTGAAGCTCCACATTAAATTCTTCCACGTGAAGGGTATGAAAGCAATTGAAAGTTTTGGCTTAATTGTTATGAGAGCCATGTCAATAAAAGATGATATGATCCCCATGATTTAAAATTTATGTTTTATAGGTGTGCATTGTGTTGGGTTGTTAAATGCCTTTAGGTACTCCATCACATCACTCCAATAGTAGAAGTAATGTTCACCATTTTATTTATCGTCTTCAGATCTTTGAATAAGTTTAAATTTTAAGATTTATGTTTATACGCTACACAGTTTTCA